TTACTTGGTTAATGGGTTATTATGGACATAGCTAGGAGTACTCACGTCCACGGAGACGGCGGTAAAGACCATGGCATGGGTCATGGCCGATTCGCCGTAGATGAGGCGATCTGCTTTGGAGAACGTCGTTTGTATGTCGATGTCAAAGACCAGCTTGAAATCGTGGCTAAAAGAAGAAATTAAATTACATTAGTTGTATAACTGTGTGTTTAAAATAATACTACACGAGTGAAATAGAAGGGTAAATTAACACATTGAAAATACTCACACGTCCACATCCTCGATGCCCTGCTTGGAGGCGAATCGCTTGCTGACCTCGCAGCCGAACCAAACGGCCTCGCCGGCCTTCAGCGACTTGGTGACCATGGCCAGGAGCAGCTCCACGGACTGGTTGTTGTAGAGGACGGGTCGGCCGCCGACCACATTGCCCAGGCAGTCGACAGTGTAGGCCTGGTCATAGCTGCTCGTCGGCCGTGGATCGGTGACCAGGCACACCTTGTCCTCCACGTTGAAGTGCGGCTTCACATATCGCTCGTAGAACTCGAGCGAGCTCACCGGTCCAATGGACTGGTAGTTCTTGCTCTTGTCGTAGTACTCCCAGGTGAAGGTCTCCGAGGGAATGCCCAGGCAGATGCCCACCACCTTGTAGATCTCGGCCATCTGCTCCTGGATCTTGCAGGCGATCTCTTCCTCCGTTGGATTCTGGTCCAGCAGCACACGCAGGTGGCGGGCGTACTCCCGGAGCTACAGCAAGCAATATATATTCAATTGAGTATCTTTTTGGTTTTAACGATCAACTTTACAAATTTAAATCCAATTTTTCATTGCCAACATAATAAACATCAAAGGCATTTACTATTTAAGTGAATAGATATATCAACAGACTGTTGCGTTTAATATCTTAAATAGAACTAAAGCTATCAATTGCAAGCGCAATTTCTCGAATATTAAAACTAAAAATGTTCACATTTATGATACAATTTTAGTGAATTTAAAAAGACTTTTAATGTATGGATATTTGAACAGACTACATTCAAAGTTACCAATTTGAATTTGAAAACAACTTACCTTGCTCTTCAGTATGGCATTCATTCGTATGCTGGACTCGCAGCTAAAGCTCTCGGGGAAGCATTTCTTTGGCATGAGGCCGTGTTTGGTTATCAGGTTGACCAGCATGTCCCACTGGCCGCCATCGGAGGTGGGATCGAGGAGCAGGAAGGACACCAGCCGGCCGTCCACCTTCTCGCCCCGCTGCGCCGTCTTCACGATGTTGTTGAGGAAGTAGTTGCACCGCTCGATCTTGTCCCAGTAGAAGAGGAAGGCCTGCGAGAACTCGAACTCGTCCAGATTGTAGTTCTTCATGAATGGCAGGCGGATGCAGTTGAGGGCCGCAAACAGCCAGCAGCGGCCGGAGCTCCGCTGATTGGTCACCGGCTTGCCCTCCGTCTCCACCTTGTAGTTGAACACATGGTTGGTCGTCTCCAGCGCCTTCCGCGACAGGCACACATCGAAGGGATCCACGCGGGAGCAGACGTTCTGCGCCAGCAGATTCTTCGGTTCGCTGTAGAAGTTCTTGCGCCATTGTCCCAGCAACTGGGTGGTGATGGCGCTGGTCACCTCATCGATCCTGTGCGTCGAATTCTTCCCGCTATTGGCACTATTGTTGTTACCGGAACCACCGCCAGCGCCTCCTCCTCCTCCTCCTCCGCCGGATCCGCTGTTGTTGTCAGCTGCAAGTAAATGGGAGTGGCAACGTTCGCCGGATATTGTGTGAGTTACTCGAGCGGACTCGGTCGAATAGCATATCGCCGGCTGCTGCTGCTTGCACATCTTGACCACACTTGCTTTCGGATTCAGATTCAGATTCAGTTTCAGATTCGGATTCGGATCTTGACTTGGTATTGAGGTCTTGATCTGGATCTTCTTCACCGCCCGCCTCACCGCCCAAACTGGAGGATCGGGTTACCCAAAAAAGAAACCAAAAACGAGAATTTTGTGGTGACGGTGCAGGTAAAAATAAAGGGATTTTTGTTACTGCCAAATCGAAATAGAGAACAGGTAACAATTATGAGATTTGGATAAACAAAAATACATATTTGAAGCGACTTCAAAATAGCGCTTGGAAACTTTTCAACGCACCTTTACAATTGATGTTTCATTGTTTGATGCCTCACCAAAAATTTAATTAACAACTAAATGGCAAGAGGAGAAAAGCCATCTTGATTTGCAAAGCAAATCTTTACATTAGAATCAAATTTTGTTCAATTGAAAAATAGATAGTTGCGACACCAAAAACTTGAACGGCAAAAACAGCTGAGCTGTTTGAATTTAATTGGCAATTAAATTGGCCAAGAATGTAATTATTTTGCAGGTCTCTTTTTTTTGAGCCTAACACAGTTGTGTTGCATGCGCAATTGGATAAAAATAAAAATATTGTACGATAACAAGATAACTAGAATTAATATTTTATAAAAATCTTTTTCAATGTGAATCCCTTTATGCTAATATTTTCACCGCAACTGTTCGTCTGTTATAAAAACACGATCGTGGAAAAGGAGATTGGCTGTGAGATAACATTTTAAGATAATGACACCTAACTTTCCAGATCATTCTTTAAATTTACTTTTGGTTGATTCTATAAATGGATTAAATAGAGATAAAGTGGATAAACTTGTATTTTGCGTTATTAAAATACATATGTCTTGAAAATTCAAAGATACTTTGAAAGCAAGAATCTCTAAGATCAATTTATTGGTAAAACTACCAAACTAGATAAAGTTTTAGTTTACCAAAACTATCTTAAAATATTTTGTTTAAAACAAAATACTACTAATTTTTTCATATAAAGGCAGTTATACTTTAAGACTTTGAAAGACTCGTAATACTTAATCAAATTAAAAATGGATTTTTATCAAAAGCAAATGTTCATTAAACAAAATCTACATATGTATCTGTAAGATCTAAAATATGTATGAATATTATAATTCCGTTAGAACCGCTTTGTGACGCAACATGAAAAAAATCTGGCAAAGATGGGCATTGTTTTTATTATTTCCTACTTGGTCGACTACCAGGGCTTCCTATCGAAAAGTGGGCGTGGTCGGGGCGGCACAAAGGCAGAAATGCAAAACGATAGAAACAGTAAGAGAAACAAGAAGAACAACAACAGCGGGGCCATTAACATTGGCATTACCATTATGCACTTTGGATCTCTCATCTCTTTCACTCTTTTCGCCATTTACTGAGCTTTGTCTTCATTATTTATTTACTTTTCCAAGTGTTAGTAGTGTGTGTGTGTGGGTGATGCTGATAAGCGAAGCTAACGGGTTAAAAGCCGTTAAGAAATACCTATTAAAAACCGTTATGTGCGAGAGAGAGGACAATGCAATTAAGCCAGAACCAGTTTAACGGGACTCGCAAACACACACACACACACACACATGAGTAGCGGGTGGGGAGCAAAAGAACGTGGGAAAAGGAAGAGAAAGAAGAGGGAAAGGAGAGGCAGTCAAAGTGCCGTTTTAAAAAACTTTCGCGGAAAGCCGGCACAAAAACAATCTAAACAAACCGAACCGAAAACAACAAAAACATGTTTGTCCAGTTTGACCATAAAAAAACAAACAAAAATTTGGGTGAAATTTTACTTTCGTCTGGTTTTAATTTGTTTTTGTTGCTGGGGCGTCAGCAAAACTTCCCTCTCTCTCACTCGTCCACACGCACACACACACACGACACCCGCACTACACAACAACAACAAACAAAAGAATGCGGCCAGGAAATGATTATTTTAACTTAAAATTGTTAATAGGCGGTTAAAGAAACTGCATTTCCTTTGGACGCTCCCATTGTTTATGAACTTACACATATTTAACGTTTTTTCCTTTTTTTGTGGCGATTCACTTATTTTGATTTTCTTCAGTCACTGCGGATTTTGTTTGGCCTAAATTCGGTTTTTCCTAATTTTCCGGATGTGTTTGCAATGCTGGCGACTGCAAGTGTATTATGCGAAATTCGACAGCTATTTATTTTGTTAATAATGTTGGAAAAAAAACTCGGACAATTTGCCAGTGTTACCAAATATTGAAATTGATTTCAGCCCAAATGCTCCCGAACAACAATGAACACTAAAAAATACCCATTTCCCGCGAAATTCAAACATCAGGTGAGTTTCAAAAATTTAAAACAACATAATTATAATCAATAAGCAATTGTATTTTCAGATAACTCTTTAGTGCATATGACAAACTCTCTGTGACTTATCGATGAAATACCGTGATTTATGGTGTTTTTTATTTGTTTTAATGTGGGTAATTTCAATTTATCAGATTTAAAATGTAAGCAATTAATTGTTTATTCATATTCCTTCTACCCAATTGTTGCTTTAAAGTATACAAGCAAGTTGTTAAATATTTGGTAAAGGCACTGATTTACAAATGCTTAGAAAGTAGGTACTACCAAATATTGAACACATATTCCTTCTTAAAATAACACGTTGTAAAGCCAGTATAAAATCTAAAACGGTTCGAAGAGGCGGAAATTTGAGCTGTATATTTCAAGTAAAATAACACGTAACTGTAGGGTAAATCTTAAAACAACAGTATTTTGGTAAAGTTTGAATAATTAAGATGTTATCGTCAAACTGTTCAAACCAACGTATTAAAATTATTTTAACAACTTGCCTTCATAATTGTTATATAATAGAGATACACATTTTTAATTTAAATTTGATTTTAATAAACACTTTTCAATTTAATTGTAAAAAAAAACTTTATTTTCATATCAAAAATTTGTATCTTTTGCTTTGTTTATTGCATCTTAATTTTGTGCAGTTCAAGGCACTGTTTCTACAAACTATTCATGTTATATTCAAATTTCTTGTTGTTCTACTACATTTAAAAGTACGCTTCTTCTATTTCATTCAAAAAACACACTTTTAAATTTCGCGCTCTCTTGTGCATTCCGCGGAAAAATCCAGAGTTTGCGAGGGAGTTGGCGTTAGGCGAAGACGTCTTCTGCAGCTCGGCCACTCTTGCCCACCAGGAGGAATTCAATCAAAAAACCATAAAAATTCGTAATTCTCACCTACGGTCCGCGTTATCTTACCCCTCAACTTCCGGTTTTCCCCGTTTTCCCAATTTCCCGAGGCCTCCGTCCGGTCCTATCCAGAAAAGCCCCATTGAGAAGCCTTCAGCGCCGGAAAAGGAAAAGAATCCCAGCCAATGAAATCCCACAAGTGAATCGCGTCAAAATCCGAAAGTCGCGTGCGTGATTCGTTCGATTTCGTTCAATATCGGTCGTTATATAGCCGCCATATAATCAGGGGACACGATGAGCGGAAGGTACAAGGAGTACGCCAAGTTCAAGTACTATATGGAGAAGTGCTACGTGCTGCCGCTGGAGCTGAAAAATGACATTATCTACTGCCAGCGTGCGATGCGCGACTTCCTCAAGGTCCACGGGGTGAGTTTGTCTGGTTTTGGGACTTTTGGGGGGTATTACGGGGCCTACGGGGCCGATAATGCATTACTTAATTCCTTTGTCTTCTGTCTTTAACCCCCCAGTTGGTCTCGGACGTCTTCAAGGAGCAGGCGGATGCGGTGGGTTAAACAAGAGCCATTTTATCCTTTGTTCTGCCTGCTTTGGCAGGGTTGCCATCATCGCCACTTTCTGGATCATTAGGAACCATAGACCTTAATAAGAGTGCGCCCCAAATAGCCACTGAGTTCCAACACAAAGAACTGTATGTAGAGCGTACATAATTCTAGAAGCATTTTTTGTGTAAAAGCTTATAAAACATACAAAGCATTTCCAATATTCAGGTTAGACGATTAGTAAACAGGAATCCATTTCATAAGAAATTATAAACAAGTAGTCGATGACTTCTTAAAGGGCTTACTATTATTCACTTAACACACATGGTGACTAATATTCAGATGGCAGTGTTTAGGATTTTAGTATAACTTTTAAAAAAGCTTTAAGAGCAATCTACACATGCATACAAACAGGAGCACATTTTTAGTGCCAATTATTATTATTTTTCTTATTAAATATTTTCAGTGCTTTCACTAGTTTAACACTTTAGATCTCGTATATGAGAAATATATAGAGTAGACTTGTTAAAATGCATATTAAATGTATATGTATTTCAACTGGAATGTTTGATAAACAAATGTTTAAAAAAAAGTAATTGTATAGAAAAAAGGGAAATTTAAATATATATGATCAAAAAAAGTAATTATAATTTAAAAAATATAAATATTACATAATTAATGCGCACTTTCTTTAACTGCGTCATGTCTTAATAATATTCCTCCACCAAAGTGCGTCTTTTACATGCAGTCAAGCCCTCAAATAGTAAAGGGAAAAACTTTTATTAATTTTTTTTAACTTTCAAAATGAAGCTGTTGAATTATAAAATATATATATTCAGAAACATTTGGCCATGCGAGGGTTAATGCTCATTAGCACCTGCGATCCCCGCGCAACCCATCCCAATTACTGAAACTTTTTTAATGTGCAACTCACGCTCAATCTCCAAACCATTCGCTTAACCCCTTAGGATCCCGTGCAGATGCGTCGCATCTTGGACGAACTGGAGGAGGAGGTGTACGAGATCAATGCCGAACAGCAGTTCCTGCTGCTGCGCCTGAACGACGACCTGGAGGGATTCTACAAGAAGCTGAAGGAGAACAACATCGCCTGCCTGCCGGAATTGGCCAACGAGTTCGTCTCCGGCCAGATAGTGCCTTTGATCTCGGACCCCAGCTATAAGATCAGTCCACAGTCGGTGATGAACCGGGACAACGAGGAGATGCTCATCCGCAAGCACTTCCTGTTGAGCCAGGACGATGAGGCGGGTGTGCCGCCGCTGAAGCTCAGCGACCTGGACGAGAACATACCGCTGATGCTGGCACCGCCAATTCGCGGTCTGGGCCAGCAGATCGCAGCCGTTCATCCGCATGTCAACTGGCCCAAAGCCGAGGCTCTGCCGGTGCAGGTGCAGCTGCAGGTGCCGTTGCCGGTGCCAAAGCCGGTAACAGCGCCGCCGCCCCGACTCAAATCCCACACGGAGATGATGAGACGGTCGCTGAATGTGATGCCGCTCAAGCGAAAGACTATCACCTGCACTTCACCGCCTCCTCTGGCGCCCATTACCCAAACAGTGGTGGTTTCTGCGGCATCGGCAGTACCCACACCATCGCCAAAACCTGAAAATCCCCCCCTGGACTTCGAGGTGGTGGCCCAGAGCAGGAAGAACCTGCACCAGGCCTTGAAGCGGGCCCGGAAAACGAAGCAGCAGCCCCGTTTGTGCGACGAGGAGGAGGTCTTGGAGCTCACCAGTCTGGAAACTAGTCGAAAGAACAAAACCAAGTCACCGCCACCGCTGGAGATGTCAAATACTGCCGCTAACCAGACATCCAATGGCACTGCCTTGGTTAAGAAGTCCAGCGCACCACATATTCCGCTGCAGGGGACGTCGAAGAACGCCAATAAGACCAGGAACACTCGCAGAAAATCGGCGCCAACACCATCATCGAATTCACAGCAACAGGCACAGACACAGGCACAGCCGCAGCCAGCGGGCTCGCCATCCGGCAGCTCAGATGATTCCAGTGCGGAACTGCAGCAGGAGCAGCAACGGCTCTTCGCGTCCGCAGCCCAGTGGCGCGATGAGCCGCGCGAGAGCCGCATCCTGCCGACGGAGTACGGCCAGGAGACGTTCCTCGGCCTGTTTGGCCTGTACACGCCCGAAGTGCTCAAGAAGCTCAATCAGCGCCACTCGAAGCGCAAGCGGCGCACCGTTCAGAATGCCAGCGGTGTGGACTTTCACTATGGCCAGCAGTTGAACGCCATGGACACGCTCGTCCTGGGCGTTCGCGGCCACAAGAAGGCCAAGGACAAGCTCGAATTCCTGCTGTCGCCGAAGGAGAAGCGTCTGCAGGCCAACTCGAAGAGGGCGTACACACGCAAGAGCAAATCGCCGGACAAGATTTCGGACAAGATCGCTGTAGGAGGAGGTCCGGTCGTAGAGTCACTCTGTCAGCATGGCGAGGGCGGCGCCTCCAAGTGCCGAAAGTGCCGCGAGTGCAGGGAATGCAAACGGAAAGTGGGTGAGTCATTTCTGTCTTTTTTTATGAGACATTCAAATGGCACTTCAACTTCGCCAATGACCTCAACTTTATGTAAGATCATAAAGCTGATGATGCAAGCGCCCCTTAATTTAGGTATTTAAATGACTCAGATCTTGAATATCGAACAAATAGTGTTTAGTTAAAATCAACTTCTCCGATGACCTCGATTTCTGTAAAACCTTTATGAAGAAGCAAACCAAGCTGGTGACGAAAGCTACCTAATAGTCTATGTTTTGTTACTTAAAGTATATTTATATGACTCAGATCTTGGATTTCAAACAGATAGTTTTTAATAAATCATATTAAATGGAACGTCAATTTCATTATTATTTTTAGGTGCTTAACAAGCTGGTGACGAAAGCTGTTTAAAAGTCTTTGTTTTCCGTTTTGAAGTTAACTTTGTGTTTTGGAATATTATATATATAAATGGTTCAGAACTTTTATTTAAATTAAGTTAAGTTTCTGTAAGATAAATACGAAGAAACAAATCAAGCAGGTGACGAAAGTAACGTAATATTTTTTTTGATGTAAAATATTTGTAATTGATTAAGATTTTGAACTTAAACCAGATATTTTAAGACCTTTACTCATTTAAATGTAGTTTATTTGACTTTTAAAACCTGTTCTAATTTCCTGTATTTTTCAGAGCGCGAAGCGATTTACTGCCATTTTTGCAGTGGCTTTTACCACATGGACTGCCACGAGACCACCAAGAATCGCCAGCAAATGCAACTCCAGAATTCCCGCTGTCCGCCGTGTTTGCGCGAGCAAATGGACAAAATGCGAGATGCCAAGTGAATGGTAGACCGCATGTGTCATATTTTTTTTCTGGTTTCCAAAAGGAAGCCACAAGTTGTTGGATAATTTAGTTGGCTCCGCCGTCCAATGGACATGGGCATTTATTAAACGTCTCCTCTTCGTTCCCTCTGAAGCTCCACCGTTGTCGGTCGACCTTAAAACCCAATTTTTGTATTTTTTTTTTTTTGGAGCAAGGGCGAAGAATAACATTGATTTGAATTTTTTTCTTCCTAAAGTTTTACATTAAAAAAAAAGTGTCTTAGTTAAGTTTTGTATGTAAATGTGCATACGCAAGTGATTAAAATATATATATATATTAATATAATATTGTTTCTTTGTACGCTCCGCTGATAGCCGAGTGACCCCCTTTTGGGGAATGGGGCGGGAATTCCGACGGCTGATCACGTTCATAAAGCATGGCTTGCTTTTGTATGCTACGAAGGTGTGTTCTGATTTTCTTCAAAATGTTATTTAATTAACTTGCGATTTTGAATTTTAAGCTTGCTTTTATATTAAGCTTTGACAAATTTATTTAATCTATTAAAATAAATAATTCTTTTAAAAACAAACATTTTAGTTAACATAAAGCAATTATTTATATAAAAATTGTACTTGAACTTGAAGTGGAATATCCCAATATCATCTATTAAATGGGGATTTGTTATTTTATATTTTGAATTATTTTTATTATTTTGGCAGTGAGTGTGAGTATTAAAAAATGTATATACATTGCAGGCTGAGAGTACAAAACCAGTCTAGGCCCGGATCCGCTGGAGCATCGAGGCGAGCAGGGGCAGGGTTAGGATCAGAAGGATCGGAGGTGGATTGGACCAGCTCCTCGCCCCGTTGCACAGGTCGCCCTGGCAGAAGCACATGTAGACCTTCTTGTAGTTGTAGATGGTGTCCGCACAGCGGTCCATGTTGTCATCCGGACCGCGCTGCACGCACATCCGCTGGATGGCCAGGTCGTAGTCGTCGATGGCATAGGTGCCGCCGCCCTCGATCACCTTGCCGCACCAGCCGCTGGCGCAGGGAATGGCCGCCAGGCCCGGCTCCTGCTCCACATCCGTGGCATTGAAGCTGAACGGGTCCTTGCAGCTGCCCAACTCCCCGCGGGATCGGCACTGGTAGCAGCGGCGCAGGAGGCCTGCAAACAGCAAGGATTTAGTATCGGAAACAGTTATATATAAATAAATTCCATGTAAAATAAATACATTGCTAAGTTTTTTCATTATCAATAAAAAAGTTTAAAAAGTTTATTTGTAATAATTATGGTCCAGTTCCATTAAATTGCAAATTAACTATCAACATATTTGACAGCGAATAAGTAAATAAATTTCATATAAATATATATTTCCATTATAAATATATATAAATTCCATGTACAATAAATAAATGGCTCATGAATATAATATTACCATATAAAATAAAAGGAATTTTCATACATTATATAGTTCAAAAGAAATAATATTAAAGAAAGGTAAAGTTCCCAAGTTTTTACTAAGCTCTTTTGTTATAAAAAATATATTAATTCGAGTTTGTGTACTCAATAACATTCCAAAAATAACACATATTACTAACAACAATTGTTAGTAATTAATGTACTTAAGTTAAATCCGTTGTTTAATATAAGATGTTCAATATGTAATACGATGTAAAATATATACATAATACGATTATATTTCGTAAAAAGTGTTTTGTTAAGTTATATATGTACATAAATGTATGGATATTAAGTTAAGAACTAATAGTTAAAAATATATTTTTCCTTTTAACCTAGAATGCTAGTTTATGACGACTAAAAATATATATATTTTTTTATATATATCCGATATTTATGTTTATAAATAATACTAGTTAAGTGACAAAAATTGATTGAAATCGAAAAAATGTGAGAGACAAAAACTAAACCACAAATTTGTTGGTATTTGCAAGTTTAAAAGAAAAGATTAAAATTTGTATGCAATTTGTAAAGAATTTTGCTACAGTTTGTTTGTAATTTAATTTTGTCGTTTTCCCCAAATGAAAATCAATCTAGACCACGCACACAAATGCAAAACACACAACACATAAGCAACTGAAACAAAAGACTTCAACGGGAACACGAACTCGCCGAACTCACCATCGATTTGGGCCAAGCTTAAAAGGAAAATCACAGCCAGAAAAAGGCTAGTGGATTGCATTGTCCCTTCTTGCAATTCAATTCCCTCGACTTTCCCTCCTGTTTTCGGTATTTACTGTTAAATAAATATAAAAGTTAAGATCAAGGCAGTTATGACTGTCAAATAGTGTTACCAGGCGCGGAAATTACTCTCCCACCGAAAATCTGAGAAAGTCAGTTTTCGAAATAAATTTGGGGTATTCCTTAAGCTGTTGGTCAGTTGTTTTATACTTTTAAATTTAGATATTCATTCAATAATTAGCAACCACTATGCTGTTGAACCACTGAAATTCATTAAGAAGCCATTGCAATTCTGAACTATTTTTATATATATATATATATATAAAAATAATTGATAATTCAACAGGCAAAATTTTGGTCGTTCCCCAAGTGCAGACAATTTCTTTTGAATTTTCAGAGATTCACTGTTTAGTCGTTAAATATCTTTTGTATTATAACAATAATATAACAGAGTTAAAAATATTTAACTAAACAAATAGAGACTAGTAATGAAATCAAATGTAAATAAGTGGCAAAATAAAGCAGACAAGGATTAAAATAATACATACAGCACACACGCACTTGTTTTTGTTAAGAACACGTTCACTTTGTAATTCAAACCAAATTGATCCACATGCTGATAAACTAATGTTATTTAACATAGCTTTTACAGGAATGTGGCGTTTATGAGCCTACTACAAACATTAAATATCGATGGAGGGGATGGAAAGAAATAAATAGAGTTTTATGTGCTAGGATGTGCAAGTAAAACGTTATAACTTGTATTACTTTTTTAAATCGGATTTATTCCAGGAAAAATGTGATTGAATTCTTAACAATTGGCATAGGAAACAATTTTGTCGATGTAACTGTTTTTGAAACAGTGAAAATAGTCGATATTTCCATAGAAGCCATCGATAGTTGCTGCTGAAAAATAGCGATGTTGCAAATTTCTAAACGTATCGATAAGGGCCATCGACTTTGTTCCATCTCTATCACACAGCCCATCAAAAAAAAATCTTTTTCCGCAGCGAAAAACTAATTTTCTCGCTCGCCCGTTGAAATTTTTTTGTTATTTTTTTTGGAAAATTGTCGGCCACAATTGGAGGTAACCAAAGGAGGCGTGCGTGAAAGTCCAGGGCCGCGAGTTTTCACCGGAGAGCGAAGAGCGTGGAAAACTGCGTACGTACAAAAAAGAAAAAAAGTGGGCACCAAAAAAAAGAAAGAAAGAGAGAGAGAAGAGGAAATTTTGCGAATTTGTCAGCAGCTGTGCGTCGTAACTAAAGCAACAAAAATAAGAGCAAGGGAGAGAGGGATGGCGGTGACGAATGCACAGGAAAAAAACACACAAGTGTGCAGCCTTGCCTTGCAGCGCCATAAACAAAAAAGTAAAATTATTTAAATAGACTGCAAAATCATATGCAGCCGACACCTGGCGGCCGTCTCGCTCTGTCGCGCGTGTGTTTGTTTTTGTTTGCCAACTGTTTCTCATCTCCCCTCTCTCTCGTCCCTATCCTCTCTCATGCAGCGCCAGCACATCCCGATTCCCAATTGGACACGACCAGGTGAGGAGTGAGTTCCAATAGGAGTACCGCAGCGCAGAGTTAACAACAAACAGCAAAAACAACAACATGGCGCTGGACAGTGGGACGCAAACGAATGCGCTGACATCATCCTTCACCACCAAGAAAAAGGATGCGGCAGCGGAAAAGGAAAACTTATGGTAAGTAGGGGTTGCATCCCAAAGAAATATTCCTAAAAGTAAGATCAGTTAAGTACTGCGATTCATCAAAAATTATAGTCAAAATTACCCAGCATTTATGAGGATCCCAAAAAAGACAAGAAAAAGTCTTTTAATAACACAAGCCTTCAACAAAAATAGTATCTTTAAAACCAGGTTTAATTTAAAATATACAAGTCTTCGTAATTAATATTATTATAGTAATTGCAATGTAAAAGAAAAAAATCGCTAATAGGTATTGGATATTTTTCAAGTTCCAGAGCTTGTAACTCATGTAATTATAGTTTGATTAAAATAAACTATTTGCTATGCCCTGTATAAAGTTCTACCAAAAATATAGATCAATAAAAACTCAAAAAGTAGTCTTAGATTAGACCACAAAAAAGAGCATCCAAAAAATAAACAAAAAAGAAGGCCATGAGAGAGGGCGCTCCATTTTGCTCTTTTTTGTATGATAACTTTCTTTAAATGACGTTTGCAAGCTCATTTTCGCCACTAATATTACCTTCAACTAATTGCCGTTGGTAACTAATGTTCCTTTAAAATTGTACCTCCATTTGTTTGTCTTGAAATATCCAAAATGATTTGAGGCAGCCGGCAACTTTTTGGGAAGGCTAAAAACCAGCTGATTTCATTGACATGTTGTCATTTCTTTTTTCTACCTTTCTCTCTTTAACCTCAAATATTACCTAAAGATTCTAAAGCTTTGGCGAACATAAACTAATAAACAAAATGCGTAAATAAATAATATTACAAAAAGCTGGAAAGGCAGAAAAGTGAGAGAAAAGACGGCCAAGAAGAAAAACAGAGAGGAAAAGAGAGGGAGAGAGGGCGAAAAAAGAGCAACAATGTGCGGGGATGATTCACAATTTCACTAACAAAAAATACAAATCGAGGGCAGCGTTTACCTTTTTTTTTCGCTTTATCAATTTTTCAACACTCATACTTATAAATAAAAGCTAGCTCAATGGGCTACTCGCCAATAAGACTGATTCCGATTGGAACCCAAACTTGGCTTAAGACGTGCGTGTATTGGTTTCCGCTGGTGTGTGTGTGTGAGCGATGTTGTCATCACTTGAATATGTCGTTTAAAGTACACCCGTTAACATAATTGGGCAAAGCGTTTCGAAATAACAGGTGTTTTCTAAAATACATCATAATATTCATATTCCTAAATTTAAATATTTTTGTTTGTTAAAAAACTTTATACAAATATTCAGCAATTAAAAATTACCTTTACTTGAGGTATCTACAACTTTTAAATCACCAGCATATGGCGTTAGGATTAAAGTACAATATTTAACAGAAGTTGTTTTTCTCCATAGAAATTGTAACAACTGTTTTCCACAAAAATAACTGAAATGGAGTAGGCATACAATATTACCAAAATGTTTTTCCTTAGTTTTATCAGCCTTAGAAGCATAACATGCAGTTGTACCATATAAACAAATTTTAAGTTTACGCAACCGAGATTTGTTTTTCTCATAACAAAGTATCATCTTTTATAACTCTGAAAGCAGTTTATTTATAAATATAACGTAGTGATCCAGTTTGTAGGACTGCATTTCCACAAACTCTAAAGATTGTAGTTTAGTGTTCTTGAAACATTAGGAACTTGTTTGTGTATTCATTTCCTCGTTAAAAAGAAATCGTCATCGGTGTTTATATTAAGGGAGCATTAGCTGAAGATATTGATTTTCAAGACAGCTGTATTATTTTACTGTCAATATTTAATGTTTTTAAATGTTACTAATGATGTCCAAAACGATTTTTGCCTAATTTCTTATGATTTAGAAATTTTGCCATTTCCCCATTCGATTCCAGAAATTGGAGGGCTAATTTAAAACATTTTTTATTGGCTTTGATTATTTGATTAAAGATATTTATCGAATAATGATGCAAACACATAGAAACACTATAAACTATTGAACGAACAGCTACTACATTTCTTCGATGAAAACATCGTTATCGTCTTCGTTATCGGTCTGCTGCAGCACCAATGTCTGCGATTGCTGTTGCCTATCGAAGTTGTTTTGGATGCGTTCCAGCAAATCGGTGGCCACCAGTGCGAAATCCTCCCACAAAGCGTCGTGGCCATCCGCATCGGCATCCGTTTCCGCCACATCCGCATCCGCATCCACATCATCTGGCTCCCGTTCCGGTTCGTCTTCTTCGTTATCGTTATCGTTATCGCCGGGCAGCATGCGCTCCTCATCGAGATAATCGGCCAGCAGATCGCTCACTTCATCGAGTATGTTACCGCTCTGGCAGAGATTAGCCGCACACTGGCCGTCGATGAGGAGATTCCAGAGGGCCTGGCAGACGATATTGGCCAGGAACCAGTCCTCCTGCTCCAAGGAACCACGCAGCAGTAGCGACAGCAGTTCCGCTCCTCGGAGCTGTAGGAAAGGACCTCGCTGTTCGCCATCGCCCAATAGATTGACCAGCACCCCAATGGCACAGGTGCGCAGCTCGTAATCCTGCCCAGCGGCCTGCTTCGTGAGCTGCTGCACCATCAATGGCAATCCTCCGGCCGCACAGAAGCAACGACGAGCCCGTTCGTTCCTCGTCAGGTTGCCCAGCACGCGGGCCAACTCCACTTTGGTCACCGACGTCTGACAGTGGCCCAAGACCTTGGCCAACGCTTCGGACAAGTCGTCAATCAAGCTCTGCAGCGATCCCTCGGCCAACGGCTGTGCGGCTGCCTGTTTGTCCTGGTAGAAACACAGGTTGTGCAGGGCTCCTAAGGTGGCATGCAGCAGCTCCTGCTGTTCCGGCGACTAAAATGGGAAGAAATCCATTAAATTCGGGCTTGGTTTTTGGCTACACAAACCCACCTTCTTCTTGGCCAACTCGTCGCTGGTCTTGCTCAAAAGCTTGAGCAGCACGGTGCCCAAGGAACGGACATTTCCCAGGCCAGCGCCCACCTCGGGATTCACACTCATATTGGCCACCACTCGTATCAACTTGATTTGGGCATCCAAAAGGGCCACACTGGTGGCTGGGCGATCGTTTAACTGCTCCAGCACATTCAGCAGATACTCCATGGCCACGTCGTTGTGAAAGTACTGAAAAAAAAACAGAATATTAGATTAATAACTCATTGACTAGCGTGCAACTTATATGTTATATATAAATTGATATTTTGTAGCTAACAGAAGTTATTTAAAAATCCCACCTGTATGCGCGCCGACTCGTGCTTGGCCAGTATATTGCCCAGCATGTAGCCCAAGCGGCTAAGCACCGCCAGGAGTCGTTCACTGCACTGACCACCGCCGGCACAAGAAGGACCCAGGAGCAGGCCAATCCTGGCCGCATAGTTGTGCAGCGTTTCACAGCAATCCGAGTCCTCGGAGAGCACGCTGCAAAGGGATTAAAGGCTAAATTTTATCTCTTCGAATGGAGGATGTAGTTCGATTTACCTCAGAGTGCGCACCACATTGGCCTGCACTTCCAGCTCGCCCATGGAAACCTCGGCTGCCCGGATAAGATGTGGACACGCCAGTTGCAATTGAAGCTGCAAACGCTGCTGCTGCTGGCAAACATCCGCCAGTGCCCTCATGGCCGCCGACAATTGATAGAGCGTGTGAAGCGGCGGACCCTGAAGGCGCTTAGTGGCCCCCGCCTCATTGAGCATCTGCAGGTGCAAAATCATCAGCTCCACGGCGCCGTGACGAGCCAGGCGGGATACCAATGTTTGCTGTCCCGTCAGCTTCCTTGGACAAAGGCCAGCCGAAATGGCCGACAGAGCAGGAGGCATGAGAGCTGCGATGGCCAGCGGATGACTTTCGGAGCCAGAGGCACAGCCAGAGCCTGAGCCGGAACCCTCCAAACCAATCCAGTTGCGGTTGAGGGCATCATCGCGCTCCTGGGCACTGCTGGCGGTGAGGAAACGTATGCAACCGTAGGCATAAATGCAGGCCTCCGGCTCATCCAGCGGCGAGGCGTGACCCAGGCCATCGATGAGCAGTTCCAGCACATCGTGCTCGTGGAACAGGGCATCATGCTGCTCATGCCTGGCCACTTTGAAGATCAGCTTGCAGGCACCCGTCAGATTACTGCCCGTCACTCTCAGCTGAAAGGGCAAATGAAATCAATTAACTAATGAGGCGGATTATGTGCTGACAAATGACTCACTGCCAAAACCACACGAGCCACGGCCAAAAGAACACGCGGCGAAGTGCACTCCACCAGTCCATAGAGACCTCCTAGGATGAAACCGCGCTTAAAGCTGCGCTCCTGTTTTCTCACTCGCGTATAAAGCTCCTGGAGGATCTGCAATGGGGCAAATGGATTTATTAATATGCATTGCATTGTCTGGCTGAGGGGAACCTAATTAAATATTTATAATAATTGATCCAAATGGTGAAATACAGATGAGGAAACACAAATGTTCAAATCAAATACTGATTTATTATCGATAAAAAGAAAAAGATTCATATACAGAAGGATAAATCCTAATATTTATATAAAAATATTAAAAATATAAAACAGCTGATCTGAAAGATGGAATACCAGTTATTAAAAACCAGAAACCTTACAAATATTCATACGGAACTATTAAGAATATAAAGTTGATTGTCCAAAAGATGGAAGCCTGATTTATTATCGATAACTAGAGACCTAAAAGGTGGAGAAACGGCCAAAACCGCTGGTAAAAGTCCAATACTCACCGCATTTATGTGCTGCACTGTCTCATCGCTGCAATCCTTGAGACCACTGTGCTGCTTGAGCAGTTCGATCAGGGTTTCTGTGCTGGATTGGCAGAGTAATGCGCCATTCCTGGTGGGCATGGGCGTGGCGGGTCCAGATCCCGATAAAGCCGGCAACTGGCGGGGCGTAGATGGTTTCTCGTTCTGCAGATAGCGCATGCTATTCGTAGAACCCAAAAAAAAAAAAAAAATACTCGTAAATAAATGTAAAATCGAATCCCGGGGGTAACCTACGAAAATGCACTGGGTGGCCGTCCTGCCAGGGCCACTTTGCCGTACAGCACCCGTCCGGATTCGCGGGGCGTGATGGGTCGGCGAGTGCTGACCAAACGGGCCCCGCCGGTGGCCATCAGGGGAACGGCGCCGCCGACGGACTCGCCCAGGAACATCTTGGCCTCGCTGATGAGTTCCGCGGATGTCTTGCGTCTGCCCATTCCACTGGTGGCCACCAGGCCCAGTTTGTTCAGACTCTGCTCACTGGCATGCGGCGCATTGTGGCGCATCTGGTGGTGATGGTGATGGTGGTGGGAGTGCTTCGCCAGCTGCTCCTTGTCCGGTTTGTCTGATTTCGTTTCCGATTCCGATTCCGGCTGTCTGGCCTTCTCCGTCCGAATCTCGTGAGAACGCGTTTCGCTGCGCGATCGTCGCCGCAAAAGGAGACTCATCTTGAGGCGCCCTAATTGTTTAAATGTCTATAATGTATAACAATACAATGGACAATGGACAATGGACAACTCTCAACCAACGCGACCAACAGTTCTAGACGTACTCCTCGAAAGCAGCGAGGAGTTTGCCTGGAAAATGTACCTTTCGTTTGGCTTTTTCGCGTGCACCATGCCAACGGGGAACCACTTCCCCACTTCCACTCTCCTTCTCGCCCACTTTCACCGCCCACCCACTTTTCCCTTCAAAGGAACCACCAACCAGTCACCACCAAATGAAGAGAACGCTAAATCGTTCGCTTACCGCCGCACAGTGGGACGCAGTTAGATTTTCCCTCGAAGTGGGTCAAAGTTACGGAAAAGTTTTAGGAAAATTATAGAGACAAATAGGGAATTAAAATGCTTGCCAGGAAAATAAACAGAAAATAGAAATGAAGAGAAAGAAAAACAGATTTCTATTGTTAGTATTCAAAAAGTATTATTGTTAAATTCGAGCAAATTCAAATTGATTTAATGACTTGATTTTAAAGAACATAAACAATCACAATCAAATGATTGCTTGCCAATTAAAATTTTTTATAATATTTAGTGTACAAATAATTAAAGTTTCGAACCACTGTGCCTTACTCGTAGGCAAATGAATAAGCGCCGCATTCAATAAAGGAACCCGACCAAAACAAAACAAAACAATCGCATCGAAACGAATCGAAACGAACTGGAAAAGTGCTCTCGGCAATCGATATTCCCCTTAGTTCGGTTTAGTTCAGTTCAGTGTGGTTCAGTTCCATATAGAAGTTGGCTGATGCGGTGGCGAGTGCGGGGGGCAGCAGGTCCTGGAGGTCAATTTGCATGTCGTGGAAGCCGAGGGAACAGGACAGCACAGGACAGCACAGGACATTCTGTCCAAACTGTCCAAGCGGCAGGATGGCAAGGCACTAGAACTTCACTCTCGACATCAATTGAAAATTATTTAATTGGTCTAAGTGAATTGCAGACATTGTGACGTTTGTAAATCGCATGCAAAACCATATCAAATATTGACGTAGTTCCGAAACACTAAAATTAAGCACGGAACCTGTGGGTTGGTGGTGGTATTTATTTGTATATGGAGTGTGTCGGTTCGTTTTTTGGCGTCCGCCAATTAACTTGATGGCGGAATGTTGCGAAAAGGGAAATGTGCCTGAATGACGGAGCTCTGACCTGAATTCGATTAAGTACGTGTTGTGTCAGCGGAAAAGCTTACAGCTTGTAATTCGCACAATTCGCAGAGGTTTTGAGATCGGGAAGAATCTAGCTCTAGATTCTAAAGCAATTTAGATATATATATAGATTTTGTAAAGGTACTTTTGACTTCATTATTGCATACCTTAGTTTTTAAGTGGTCCTGTCTTTAGTAAAGTGCAATTGTTGTTCTCCTTGCAGGTCAGCGATATTGAATGAAGTACAAACACAGGGCAGCACAAAACTTCCATCAAACAAATCTGTACTAGTATTAGGCGACAATGCCACCGGAAAGACGACACTCATTGCCAAACTGCAGGGCGTCGAGGATCCGAAGAAGGGTTCCGGCCTGGAGTATGCCTACATTGATGTCAAGGACGAGTACAGAGACGGTGGGTGATCGATCGATCGATCGAATGAACAATCATATATATTTCGTGGTGATCAAATTTTCGTATTTCATTGCAGACATGACGCGTTTGGGCGTTTGGGTCCTGGACGGCGATCCAGGGCACACAAACCTGCTACACTATGCGCTCAACGAAACGAACTATGCACACACACTCGTCATCCTCACCGTCTCGATGACGCAGCCGTGGGGCTGGCTGGAGCAGCTCAACCACTGGATCAAGGTCCTGGGCCAGCACATCGAGAGCCTGCAGCTGGACGCCAAAGAGAAGGAGGCGGCTCGCCAGCGACTGGCCACCACGTGGCAGAGCTACTGCGAGGTGGGCGATGACATGGACCCGGGTTCTCCGGTCAAGCGGACAATGCGCAACAACTCGATCGACGAGGACGACCTGCTGCCGCTCACGGAGGACGCACTAATTACAAATCTGGGTCTCGACATTGTTGTTGTCGTCACAAAGGTTAGTTGGGCTGCAAATCATTAAGTAGGAAAACGGAAAGCTGGTTGTAAAAAATTGAAAACCATTTTAGAGCTCTCAGACTTTTAGCAGCTGCACCGTTTACAACCCAGCTTTGAAATTCTGATATTCTTAATTTAACTCTTGCAAAACTATTTAAATATGAGCCGTTTAGACTTTTAGCAGCTGCACCGTTTAAAACCAGCTTTAAAATTTAGATTTTCTTAGATTTTTAGCCGCTGCACCGTTTACAACCAGCTTTAAAACTCTGATATTTCGTATAAAAACCATTAAATATGTTTGCAAATTGCTGAGATGAGTCTTTAAGACTTTTACCCGACGCACCGTTTACAACCAGCTATATAATTGTGACTTCTTTAATTTTACTCATGCAAACCCATTTGCTTTTGCTTACAGACGGACTACATGACCACGCTGGAGAAGGAGTACGAGTATCGCGACGAGCACTTCGACTTCATCCAGCAGTGGATACGTAACTTCTGCCTGCGGCACGGCACCTCGCTCTTCTACACGAGCGTCAAAGAAGACAAAAACTGTGATCTCCTCTACAAATATCTGACGCATCGAATTTATGGTCTACCATTCCGTACGCCAGCGCTAGTCGTTGAAAAGGATGCGGTACTCATGTGGGTGTCTTTCTGCTCTCTCTCTCTCTCGTTAAGTGAATAACTAAATCGGTGATATTTGCATCTTTATTGCAGTCCGGCTGGCTGGGATAGCCTGAAGAAGATTAGTATTTTGTACGAGAATATGCATGGCGTCAAGGCCGAGAATCCCTACACAGACATTATCAAATCGCCGCCAACTAGAAAGGTATTATTTTAAGACAAAGATGCTTAATCAAGAAACCCATTGATAATTAACCTGTTTACTTTATCCAGGCGGTTTCCAATCGAGAGGCGGAAGTGCAGACGGAGGACGAGCAGGCCTTCCTGGCCCGCCAGCAGGAGATCCTCAAGCAGGGCGACCAGGTGCGCGGAGAGTCGCCTCTGCGATCGCAGGGTGTGGGCAGCAACAAGAGCGGACCACGAACGCCCGGCACCGCAGGCCAGAGTTCACCCAAAAAGGTGCGTATAACTTGAGATATAAAAAACCAAAATACCAAAAAACCAAAAAACCAAAAAACCAATGTGAATGCAAACTTATTTGCCCATCTGCAGATTGATCCCAAGCTGACGCCAGCCACGCCCGGTGCCGAGGGCGTTCTGGCCAACTTCTTCAACTCGCTGCTGCACAAAAAGTCGGGCAGTCCGGCCAGTGGCGGCTCGGGCGGAGCCGGTAGTCCGGCGGGACCGGGTCGCACGGCCAACGGCACGGACGCCATGATGACGCCCGAGAAGCTGGCCGTGCGCACAGATGCGGCCGCCGAGCTGGACCGGTTATCGCGCAGCGTCAAGAAGGAGATCGACCTGTCGCAGAGTGAGTGCTGAGTGCTGAACGCCGTAGTCAACCAGTGGCAGCAGCAACACACACACACACACACACACACCACAGAAACACACACCAGCGGCAGCAGCAACAAAAGAACCAGATCAACATGAAATCGTTATTTAAGCATAAAGTGAAGGGCAGAGACTCGTAGAGAACGCAGGGCCAGTAGTGCTGAATGGAAACACAATTTAAAACAGCCTAAAGATCATTCAATGGTCTCAAAGTTGGTGGACAGACTTTGATCAGTCTGCGGGTATAGTATTCAAAAAAGAAACTGTTGGCCAATTATTCAAATCTTTATGAAGGTATTTGAACTTTGAATATTATTCGATTGTTTATTAAGAGCTCTAAGGAAAGGCAAGTTTCTAAATTTTATGAAATACAAATTTCGCTTTCCGAATCAAACGCCCTCCAAGAAACTGATCAATGTCCGGAGATTTTTCATAAACTTTTCAACAAACTTCCGGGAACTCATGTGATGAGTTTCCTGACTACAAGCTATTTCATTGCGAGCCTCCTGCGGCATACTCAAAAACGTTCGATAGTAAATGAAACAAAATAGAAAACAAAACAGACACTAGGAATGAAAAAAAACATAAAACGATGAACAAGAGATGAGAAATTCGCCACTTAATGGTTTAGCTTAGCGAAAAAGTTTGCTATTTGAAGAAGGATATTGTCTGCGAGGCATATTGTACTCCTCGCCGCGCAGCTCCACCCACTCTGCATGTGTTTAAATGGCCTTGGCGCGAGAGAGGATTATGATAATGATAACGATAATGGTAAGGATAATGTGAAGTAGTTTTTTTTTTCGTTTGCGGGTCCACACACACATTTGTATGATAAATTATTTAAAACGCTGTAAAATGTAATTAACAAACGGCAGACAAACGAAAACGAGAGAGATTCGAACAGTCCAAGATCCTATCCAAGATCCCTGCGATGAGGATGGTATGCGACTAGCTTGTATGTACTTTTTAATTATATTAATTAATTACACACCCACTCACACTTGTGTTGAATCGGTAGGCGAACCGTTTATATTAGTATTTATGGCAGGAGAAATCGAGGAGAACAACCGTGCTCCCTTGTCGTGTGTACATTTTTAGTTAACCCACGATTTTCGTTCTTTTTGCTTTTGTTCAACAATCAACCAACCAACGAAATCCACTGTAATTAATTTTAAACCTTAATCCCTTTGATTTTAATGTAGAACCCAGTCGTTATTCGCTCCAGAAGAGAGACAGCTGTACGTCTCCATTTTAAATCAAGTTTTTATTTAAGCCATTTTAAACGAGCGTGGACCACGAACGAACACGAACGCATGCGTCAGAATCAAGAAAACAAGAAACCAAGTTAACATAGCTGGACTGCAATCGCAGTCGCAATCGCAGTTGCAATCGCAGTTGCAATCGCATTTCGCCCTCGGCCCAGGCGATTGTTCTATTTTATTATGATTTATTCGAGTCGAGAAGAAGCTTTCCTTTTGCCATATGTATTCCACCAAATGTATGTATGCTCTTCTCATCGGGAGATTTAATTTCTATAACTTTCCATATCCTCTAATTTCTTTTCATTTTGTTCAACTAACTCTTTGCCTCTCGCTCTTTGCCGTGTGTCGTCAAAAGCAACCACAAAAAATATATAAAAAATCAAGCAAACAAAACCGAAAAATAACTGAATGATTTGTGCTACAGAAACTATTTTTATGTATAAATACAAAATAATTATATTAAATATATTGTGTAACATTATATATAAATATATACAAAAAAAAAAAACAAAACAAAAGCAAATTACAAATATTGTGCAAGCGAATTATTTAAACAAATTGATCGGCATTCGAAAAACTCCCAACAAAGAACAAAGCGAAAAAAAACACACACACACAAAAGTAACTTAATGTAAATTAAAAACAAAGAAAATATAGGCATCAGCAAGAAAAAAATAAAATAAATTAAATAAAATTTTCCAAAAACACAAAAAAAATCTAACTATTTTAACGATTGTTTTATTTCCATGATTTGAGTTAGGGGTGTTACAATTGAAAGACATTGATTTAATATTAAGCTTTAATATTAGTTGTTTTTAAAAAAAAGACATTTTTATTATACGTTGTATATTGCACTGCTTTAACAATTCAATAATTAACCTTTACTGATTTTGAAATCATTTTCCATTATGCAATTTAAACGTTAACTTGTTTATTAATCGATTCTACTCAATTGTTAGCACATGTGACTAGGACAAACTTCATGAAACTGTTGTCAAAATTCCTGCATGGAAGGGGCGAAAAGCTTACTTTGATATGCGGGACTTTTATTAATGATGAGAAGGTCCTTTGACGATTATCGAAGAGAACGAGGCCAACTGGCAAAGACCAATTGCAGCCAGGCCCCCCTAACATCAATGATGTTTTCATTTCGATAGTGATTTTTACAAACACACTCTTTTTCCCCTTTCTACACTCTGCAAAATATTTCTCGTAATTTTGATTGACAATGTATTGGACTTAACGTTTCTATTATTTATTTATTTCGATTATAATATTGATATGATTTTTAACAGAAATGTTTTTGATATTTTCGTAAGCTAAATAAATTTTGAACTCAACAGTCTATGCCCAAACGTATTTATATATATTTTTTCATACAATCTTTTAAAAGTTTCAATTCGAAACTTCGGCAAAAAAAAAATTTGTACTCAATCAAAATTCGCTTGGAAAAAAAAAAGATTTCTAGGCAACAGTGGTGGTTCTAGCTTGTTTCTTGATTTTCTGATTGTTTTCTCACAGTGCATGTGTCTTTCCAAGGATATAAGGACCAAGAGGAACAGCTGGCAGCTGGTTTCCCCTCCCGCATTGTCTTGATGGCTCCAAGGATAACACTTTGCTTGACCTTTCTCTCTCTGTGCGTGTGTGTGTGTGTGTGTGTGTGTGTGAGCGCGTGATAAATGATGACGCAAATCCCCTTTCCCACCTCAGAAAGTGGCCCCTTTTGGTCCTTTCGGTTACATATTGTTTCAGCCCGCATCCACATCCACATCCACTCCTTTGTGCCCGGCGACAGTTTTGCCAAGTTTGCTTGGCAGTAACAGTTAACCAGCCAGCCAGCCTGCCACTCCCATTTTTCCGCCTCCCCTGGATTTCCTTCGCACGTGCTCATTTTCCTTATTGCCCACCCTGACTTAGCGCCTTTTCTGCCAGCCTCGATTTGGCTCAAAGAATATTGACATTGATTTTGATTTCCTTTTTGCGATTTGATGGCTTGCCTGCTGCACGTACTTCATACCACTCCTATACACACACATATACCACACAGTGTGTCGAAGGATTCTGCTGCACCAGCTGCTAAACGCCTCGGGTGTTGCAAGTTCAGATCAAAGATACTTTACCATCACTATTATTGGAGTCCTTGGTTTTTGTGCGCTTTCAAACATCATCCTGCGCTTAAAGTAACGCTTTTAAACTTCAGACAACTGGGTATAGTTCTTCAATACCGCTTATTATCATTACTACAATTTTATAAATAATTCAACATTGATGAACAAATCTTAAGTTATAAAAAATTTCAAATCTATTCTATATTAAGAAAAGCTGCTGTATACTGTATGAAATAATATTAATTATTATATATTTTTTTTGCAAAATAGATTCAAAAATTAAACTATTTTCAGACGAATATAATATACATTTCCTAATTGTTGCCTTATCATGGCTTTTTAGTGATTTAAAATATGTACATATGTATACAAAATTCAAATTAGACCAAAATTTTTTAGACTAATCCTCTTTTTCTATGTAATCAATTAATAATGCACAGAGTTTGTCATTCAGTCATAACGCATTCTCTTATTTTATTTTATTTAAAATTGCATGACATTTAAATTTTATTGCATTTTTAGCATTCTATTTGGCGCTGATTTTTTTGTGATAGACAACGAATAAATTTACGAATAATTTATGCATACAGAGACGACGCAATAAAACAGAAAAAAAGGCAAATCAAATTAAACGCAATGTAATTAAGTTGCAATTTTTCGTTTTGTTCAGCTTGATACAAATCTAATATTAATAAAGAACGCCAAAGATGTCGGTTTATCGAACTAATTGAATTTGCATTAATTCCCGTAGAAAATATGGTAAATAAGTGATGAGCAAATGTGAAAGTCTTTACGGGCGGCAGAAAAATAGCCGCTGGCATGAATTTATTATTATTGTTGAACTCAACTCTGGGGAACGCATAATAAATGGACATGTCTTCCCGACTGTTCAGTTAAATTGGCAACTAATTAATCAACAATTTGCGCTTGATAAACATGCTGGAATCTCGCAACTAATTATAATAATATCCAAGATTTTTCCCCGGCACGAACGAGTCTTTCAAGTTGAGTTTCTATAATGACAGCTTAATTGGAATTGGAATCGCAACTGGACGGGATGTGTAGATTGGAGTATTGGAGTATTGGAGTATCTAAGTATCTGGGTTAGTGAGGGGGCGCCCTGTAAAACTTTTGACAGCTGGCTGCCTTGCGAGGCCGTCAAAACAACTTTGATAAAAGAGGGCCAAAACAGACAAACAAACAACGAGGCAAACAAATGAATGAGTGGGAGATATGAAAATTTATCATTCTCAAGTTTCGGAAGGAAAACAAATGGCCAAAGACACAAAGGGAAGTCTATGAAATGGCACAACAATCTATTGTGCAAATTTATAAAAATTAAATTCCAGATTTCAAATCAATCTTAAACAATTGATTTTAAATCTGAAATTACAATGGGGATAGGATAATTTTAAATTTCCGCACAACTTAAATTTCAATCATAATATAGTTAAATCTTAATTGAATGTTTGTCAAAAAAGGAAGAAATAACTTAAATTAAATCTACAAAAAATCTTGAAAAAAAACAAAACTAACAACTTAAATTTTATACTTAACAGATTTTCCAAGAAATGTTGTTGTTACCCAAAAGTCAATCAAATTGTTTGATTTAAGTTTTGATTGTGGTCAATAAGAATTTGCAGCTGAAGTTTATTGAGTGCGGTGTTTACTTGGTCTTAATAGTCTTTACCAAGAATGCTATGATTTATTGACCTTAAGAAGACTACTGTCTCTCTGTTTGTTTTATTTGTTAAGTGTTATTAAATTTATTGTTTCATTAACATTAAATTAATCCTAAGTTCTCAGCACATTCTGAATTTTATGATGTAAACCAGAAAAACATATGTTTTGAGAAAACAAGGCGCAAAGCCAAACAAACTGACTGTTTAATCATTTTTAAATCTACAAACCCCAAATAAAAAAAAAACCAAATTCACTCACTCAATTTAATGCTTATTTTATGACCTTAAACGATTTTCGAAGGTATTTCTTGTCCACCCAATGGCCGAACAAATCGTTTAATTTGATTATTTAATGCGGTCATCTTTTGATTGAAGTCAATTGGAATCTGCAGCTGCAGTTCGTTGAGAAAAGTGTTTACTTGGCTTTAATGGACTTGGCCAAGGATGCTTCATTGTCCTTGGAGCGACTACGGTTCGTGTTTTATGCTCTTCTGCTGCAGCTCCATCGCATTTGTCTGACAAATTGAGTTTCCGGACGGACGGCAACTCGGAAAAAGCGCAAATAAAATCAAATGTGTGGCCGGCAGCAGAAACTACACAGGGAAATAAACTATATTAAGATCTTAAAAAAGGCTAGGACTTCAGCTTATTCAAACTTAAATTTAATAGTTCCTCTTTAAAATTTATATTTTGATCATTTGTTGGGCAGTTTGTCGGGTTAAATTTAAATTAAATAAATATATTAAATTTAATACATTTTTCCTGTGTAGAGGAAACTGCAAGAGGGAGGACGCTCTAATGACTCGGTTTCCTACTCTTATAAAGCAATTGCCTGAAGATGCCCAATTGCACATGACACTCTTTCGACCACACAGAATTTCATTTCTGGAGGAAAACGTTCTTTATTTCCCCATTTATTGCTCTCAATTTCTGTGTAAAATTTCAATTGTGTTCCTTGGGCGACAGCCATGTGCAGGCGACCAACAAAAATTGTCAATTAAAGCCATTAGGGCCATTGGCAATTAGTTGGCAGTCCCATTATGCGGAAACCCATTTGCCGTTGCACGTATTTATATGTACCATCGTTTTTTCACTCGAAACAAATACGATCTTAGGCAGGAATTTCTATTTAAAAATACATTGCTCGATACCCTGCAGCGGGATGGGCAAATAAGAGATGTTGTGTGTTCTTAATTGGTCTCTTTGTGGGTTAAGGCACAACAAATTTAACATGTACAATTCACCAGTACAAGCAAAATATAAACAAATATGGTAGTTTGTATGCCAAAGATACAAAATATGCAAGGGAATGGATTCTTATTTAAAAACAAACAATTTGTAATTTTGTGTACTTTAAAATCGGTTTTATTGCCAAACATATGTAAGCTCGAAAATGTAAAACACAGGTAAAGCAAATGCTCAACACTTTGTTAAAAAATAGTATAATGCAAATGAATACACTTAGAAAACAAGCTACTAATCTAAAGAAAAAAAGGATTAAAAAAATACAAGAATTTACGATTGGAAGTTCTCTACATGGTTTCTCCAAGGGGCTTGATGATCAGCTCGTGCACCTGGACATGTGGGGGCGTGGCAATGGCGTATAGCACTCCCTGCGAAATGTCCTCGGAGTGGAGCATCCGGTCCTTGATGGACTCCCTGATGCTATCCGGCAGGATTTCCGTATCCACCACGCCCGGACTGACGCTCTGGAATATGAAAACAGTAAGACCGAAATAAATAAAGTTTATACATTTAAATACAACAAACAAATTATAACAATTTAAAAACCTAGAGTATTAGTAGCAAACGTTATGGGTAAGCTTAATAATTAATGAACAAGACTAATCTCTTGTGCATAATATTTAATAAACTTCATCGGTAAGTTTACTAAAAAGAGATAAACAAGTTTTTTTATGAAATAAGTGATGCATAATATTTGAGTAAGACATGAATACTTTCATTTCAAAATTTGCATGCTATTAAAAAAGGTTTATGTTGTATTAGATAAGATAATAAATATGGTAATGAATAATTAACCTGAATTTATGCTGTCCATAATAATACTCATTCCTGGTAAAGAGTTAGGCACTATTTTTTGTTAGGTAAAGATAATCTGAATAAATTCTAATTATTTTGAATAGCTACAAAAACTAATATTTCTATTTATAAAAATTGGTTTTTAGTGCAAATACTTTGTCGAACTATTTTAAGTGGGAAGGGGGGAAGGCGAACCCACCGTGATCTTGATGCGGGTGCCCAGGCCCAGGAACTCCTGGCGATAACCTTCGGCCAGGGCCGTGACCGCATGCTTGCTGGGCGGATAGAGGTTGACGTCCGGTGCCACGCCCTCCATGGCCGTCATGGTCTTGTGCCCGAGGATGCTATTGATGAGCACCACATGGCCGTCGAACTTGCGTTCGCGCATGGAGCGCACAGCCCGCTGGGTGCAGAGCACAATGCCCATGACGTTGGTCTGCAGCACCTGCTGCATAAGGGTCGGACTCATGTCCACCAGGTGGCCCGACTGCAGGGTGCCGGCATTGTTCACCAGCACATCGACGGCGCCCAGCTTCTGGATCACCCAATCGAAGGCCTCGTTCACCGAACTCTCGCTGCCCACGTCGCAGTACAGGGCAAACAGTTTGCCCCTCTTCTCGGCCGGCAGCTGCTGCTGCAGCTCCTTGACGCGGTCCACGCGACGGGCCAGCCCCACCACCGTCATCCCGGCCAGCACCAGGTCCTTGGCGATGGCCGATCCGATCCCCGAACTGGCTCCCGTGACGACGGCCACGCGATTCTGCCAGCGCTCCATGTTGCTCGCTTGAAAGTTCTCCGATACTTGATCGGATCACGGGTGAAAGCAGCTCCTTATATATGGATGCTTGGAATGAGCATGGTTGACGCTTGTATTGTAGATAGATCGTTGGGATCGTTGCGTGCCGCTCTCCGAACGAGTTCCAGCCAATTGCAGTGAGAGAAAAGCTATAAAACGAATGCTATTACAAATTAAAAACAATTATTTCAGCAGGACGTTTTAATTAGAAAATAATACAAAGTATATATAGAATGAAAAGCTATAAAAAAAGATAAATTAAAAACAATTTTTTTTTAACGGCAAGAAGTCCGACCTATGCAATAGAATGTGATAATTAATTAAAAACAAGTATTTCAACAGGAAGTTTTAGTTAGAAACTAAGAACCAAATATAAAATATAACATTTAAAAATGTTAAAGAGGTGCTTGAGTTATATAACATATTCAAAAGTTCTCTATAGAACCCTTAATTAAAAAAAAACTAACTAATCTAATCTCTTAAAAAAACTTTGCATTTATATTTTATCAAAAATCGAAATAAATCTTTTGACAATTTTGTCTGATAAAAATATACTATAAATGTAAGGTGCATGAGTTATATGAATCAAAATTTATATAATTTAATTTCGTAAGAAAAGTATTAATATTTTATTATTCAAAACTTGAAATATTAATATGTGATACAAATATTTAATTAAAAGCTTGATTTGAATTCAAATATACGGTGGAAAATAAAATTAATGCATGCCATACAAAATAAATGGCATATATTACCCAATTTATAAGATTGAAATCTTGTGAAAAAGTAAATATTTTTGCCAGTGAATCTCGTTAGCGTGCTGAGAAACTGCCGCCTCATCGCCTGGACAATTAGGCACGCCCCCGATAGAAAAAAGGGGCGGACGGTGATGTATTTGCATAGTTGGAAACGACAGTTTCTATTGTTTTTGGCTACTCCAGCCACTGTAAACTCATATTTTGACGAAGAAACACTCCTCACGTCGGTTTTCGGGAGCTATAATTGGCGTATAAAGAACATATATTTATATGGCCTGCTTGGGATAATTTAGGGCTGGAAATTGGGTCAATTTAACTCGTAAACTGTTTCTGCTAAATTATACATATTTTATCCAACTAACTATCAAATGTGTAGATAAAACAGTTGATTAACCAAAGAGTGTAGAATAAACGTTAGTTTATTGCTTTAACAAATTCATTTTTGAATTAAAAGAAAATACGCTTTTAAGCTATTTTCTTAAATTAAATTAATCTGGCTCACAAGATAAATAAGAAAACGATTAGTATGCTGTAATAATACCTTTTTGCCACACATCAGCTTATCAAATAATTTGCATATTAAATGTATGCGATTCTCGTTTCCCACATTCAATTAGCTGCACGTTTATTCATCTCGGATTATATTATAAGTATTATGCATTAAAATATATATATATATATATATATATGTATATGTCGACACACCTTCTTCTACCCTGGGTCATTTATAATCTCGTTTTGCGTCATTTGAAATGTCATTCAATTAAGGTAAGTAAGAAACTGATGCATTTTATTTTATATTGCAAGTATATTTCAATACGTCTTTTAAAATCATATGAAAAATCGAAAAAAAAAATTAACTCAATAATTTTAATTAATATTAAGAGCATTATATGTAGTACATGAGAAAACCTAAGCTATTTTTACATGAAGTTAAAACTAATGGGTATGGGAAATTTCGCATATAGATGGGTATTAATCGATTACCACGAGAGTATAAAAATCAAATCAAAGTATTGAATTAATTCATCATAGAAATAAGCTTTTAGTGTTTTTGTTTGGGTGTAGTAAGCTATATAAATTAATCCAAATTTTTTTTGTAGAATTATGGTATACAAAAATGTATATAATTAATCAATTAAAGAACTAATGAAATTAATATTGTAATTCTTCTGTGTGATAGTAAAATTATTACATTTTAAGCTACAGTTTTTTCTAAACGGGAAATGAAAAATAATAAAATCGAATTTAATAATTATACACTCTCTTTATCCAGTGTATACCCATGGCGCCCCCCAACAGCAAAGAAAGGACTGAATATATATATATGTTTGAACCGCATCACCTGAACTTCATTTTTGTTGGGGGGTTAGACGTTGGAGTGGAGTGTAGTGGATTTGTCGATACCAACACGCAGTGTTGTACATTTGGATGTGGCTGCATAACTTGTTGTTGTGTTTCTAGCGTAGTTCAGTGTTGAAAGTGTTGGTGCCGATGCTCCTGGATTGCCGATGTGTGACAAGGTGTGGATGAAGAAGATGCTCTACCAGTAGCCGCCCTTGGATGCACTGCCTCCGCCGTAGTTCATGCTCATGTCCATGCCGTTGTAGGCGCAGAAGGCCTCGCCATTGTCGATGCACGGCTCGGATTGGCCGGCTCCCTGACCAAAGAAGTTGGCGGGCACGTTGCAGGTGAGCGGCGAGCTCATGTTCCCATAGTCACCCATGCCCATCTGCTGCTGCTGCTGTTGATGTTGTTGTTGTTGCTGCGGTTGGGCACTGGGCATGGCCATGCCCGACTGGACACTGCATCCTCCGGCAGCAAATTGACTAGGATACTGCGCTGGTGCTGCTGCTCCCTGGCCAGGCCATCCTGCTCCGGCTGCTACTCCCGATCCCGGTGGTCCATATGCTGGGGCTGCTCCAGATCCTCCAGCGCCGGATGGCTGCATCAGGTCGCCCATCTGCGGATAGACAGGTGCGTTCACGGGCTGGCCGTTCCAGTAGGAGAATCCGTTTGACATCTTCAGCAAAAAAAAAAAATAGCCAAAAAGTGTAACTTTTGGAAATTTGGAAAAAAATAAAATTAGAAAACTTGTAGTTTTTTTTGTAGATTTATTTTTGGGCCAAATAGAAGCTTCACAAATTTTGTTCCGCCAAGCGTTGTTAACTGTTCGAGCTAACACTTAAAACTGAGGATCTGGAGCTCCGGCCTGGGGCTGTTCGACTTTTGCCTTTGACTTTGACTTCATGGATGGCTAGATTACAAATTTTTCAATTTTAACTGAAATAGATTCGTTTGAGTCTGGTTAGCCATGATTTACTTAAGATCTCGTTAATTCCTTGCGAATTTTTTAGATCTGAGCTAGTTTATACCATTTAGATATTTAATGAATTTTAATTTTGTAACCATTTAAAAAGAAACATATACAAAGTGTTGTATACATCTGGATACAATCAAATTATGTCAATTAGTGAAGAAATACATTACAGATTGTATTTTCATTAATTTATTAAACGCTTTATATTCATTAGGATATTTAGATTGAATTGCAATGGTTTTATAAAGCGTAGTCAATATTTTTTCAGTGTTAATTTTCAATCAAATTGTACTCTCAGATTGGCAGAAACTCAGCTGGTATTTAAAGCTATCTTAAGACTATATTGTTGTCGTAATTTTTGTTTTCTTGACCTGATTTGGTAGTTAATTTTCTCGGCTTTCAGCGACCCAAGAAAGTATCCCCATAACAGGCATTCAGTTTTTTTGCCGCTCCGCTTTTAATTCAGGTCATTCCGTGTTATTTAGCATACAATTTTATATTGTGATAAATGACATTTCTTTTCATTTTCATTTCATCTCTTTACTCTCATATCTCATTTCTTAGTTCTATTTCTTTTGGTTTAGCCTTCTCGCAAAATGGGGCGGTTGGCGACTGGGGGGCGTGGCGTGTGGCCAGCGTTGTGTTAATTTTTGAAAAAGGACGCCAACTGTCGTGATGCAGCACAGATGATAATGACGAAGACGTGGCAACAAACATTTGTCTACATAAGCGGTATTAAATGGTTATAATCGACTTTTAGGTAATGAATGTATCTTTATATCCGATTAATCCGATTCGGCTTGATTATCAAATCGTATATGCAAATTTATGTAAAGACATCATTCGTTCATTGTTTTGTTATCTTCGTATTTGTTTGTTAAATGATCTTTAAACTATAATTTCTGGCACGTTTTAAATCACACATGGTTGGCATTTAAATAGGGTATTTTTAAGGCTTTCTCTCGGCAATTTATATTCTTACTCTATTCTTGTGCCTAGCATAAAATGCAAAACACTTGAACTGAGTGGAAACGAAGGCGAAAGCAAAATAAACAACAACAAAGTGCCTCATAAACCATCAGATGCACTGGGAGAAATTTCATGACTTGAAATATTTATGATTGACACACTAAGAATTCTGAATAATATACGCAATTTGATTGTTAAACAATAGTATGTATATAAATTTAAAAGACTTACTTACTTTGATTCAGGAATTCTAATAAGTCAAGATTGTTGTTTAATTTGAAAAGGCGAAAGTTACGTAGACGCCATATATTTTTACATTTTTTTATTGCGTATACGTAAAATATTGACTAAAGGAATTTTGAAAACTATAAGCAGTTGCATTAATTTATAAATTCAATTTATTTAAATTTGTAAGATGAATTTATTTTAATTCTGAAATCAATAAAAATCGATATTATAATTCATGAATTTGTATATACTTACGTTACGTATACGCAATATATTGATGTTGTTATTGCGTATACGAAACGTTTACAACTAATGCCGACTTGTGTTGACAAAATTTTTTTAGCTGTGCCTAAAAATAAGGAGAATAAGCAGCGAGCCGAGAAAAAAAGAACGCAACATGGCAGGGTGTTGATAATGATAGCAAAGACAAAAGCCCACGCCTAATGGGACACGGAGTGGCTGAGGGGCAATGGTGGCTGGTCCTGAGCGATGGTGAGGACGATGAGGGGCTGGCGAGATGGCTGGCCGACTGGGTGACCATCCGACTGTCAGGCCCACGTCCTTGACGCGCTGCAGTGGCGACATAGTAGTGAAATTGCCTGTCCTCGGCCGGCGTCAACATTGTGTCATTGCTAGTATTAAATCAGAGCCAAACAAATGATGATACATAAGTGCGACACAAGTGCGCAGAAAAACACACAGAAAAGATTAACCGAAAAGCTGGGTGGGCAAATTAAAATTGCAACACGACGGGCCGGACATACAGAGAGGAACACCTTAGGGATTGTACCCTCAAATAATTTAAAGATTATATTTCTTAAACAAATATACAATATATATTCAATAGTAAATAATATGAAAAACATCCACTATTTAATGGGTATAATATTTTATTTCTTAAGAAAAATAAATTATTTATTAATTTATTTTAAGAATATTATGAAAGCATTTTGTATAAAACATACCTTATATTTGCTTAGTTGGCTAACAAAAAATGTTTGAATATACAATATTCATAGAGTTAGCAAGAGGTTTTCTTGACAGGATTGTTAGCTATATATTTTGTAACTATATTTACTATATATTTTATTTAAGAACATTTGGATTAGTGCAAAATATTGTGGAATTTTTCTGGTCCTGCCCATATTCTTCACCCACTGTGAGTGATCAACTGAGTTAATATTTCACAGCCTGACCTTGGGTCATACCGAATTATGTGAAGCCAACTGTGCCGGCGGAGAATAGAGGAAAAGCCAGCGAGAAAATCGGGAAAAACAGATCCGGGGAGATGGAAGACAAAGAAGGCAGTGCATAGTTCATCAAGTCCGCAAACAAACGCATGCCACAGTCGGACTTCAAGGAGGCAAAGGATCTCGGAAGGAGCAGAGGCACACCCACTTGGGTCAAATATGTTGGCAGTTGCATTCTGTTTGGGCTCCGAACAGCAAACATTCAAGTGGCTGGCAAAGACAAAGGACCGTCACAGTGGGTCACAACGAGTAATAGTGACTTAAATATAGTACTTTAACAACATTTATCAATAAAACATGGTTATCATTGAAAACTCATTCAAATAATATCGGAAATCGATGATAGATAGCCAATATCTCACCTGAAACTTAGCTTTTCTGATTTGTTAAGTTATATAGGAGAATGGCATTAGGTGTAGTTTAATAATCCCCAATATATATAACATCTTATTTATATAACTCCTAACGTAGTGATTTCCAAAAATATTCAGTACTATCCCTAAAACTAACAACTATTGTTGATTTTTGGCTCACCACTGTAGCGTAGTGTAGTTTTATCGCATTATTGCAGCTGCCTCTGGTCGACCACACTACCCTTCTCTTTCCATTCCCTTCGCCCTGTCTCACTCTTTCTCCCCCTACCCATCTCCCTACCCATCTCTTTCGCCAGCTCTATTTTTCTCTGTCTGTCCAGTGGACTCCTCCCGTGCCATTAGCCAAAATGGGTAAATAAGCTTAGTGCGCTGTACGACTGGGGACTTAACTGTGTGCGGAAAAGGGATGGCCAATGGGGAAACGGGACGGAGATAGCTGCAGGGAAAGTGGTGAGAGCACTTGAAAAAGTGGCAAAATAATTACCGATAACACAAATGCCCAGGCACCGATTCCGAACAGTCGAACTTTTTCCGTGTGTCTGACTTTTTTTTTGTTGTACCCCTACCATCGCATTTTTCCCGCCTTCCCACGTAGCTTTTCCTGCCCCTTTTTCCTTTTCCTCCGTGCCGCTTTTTTTTTTTTTGTTATTGTGCTTCGCTTGTAGAACTCTGGCTTACATAAATTCAATTGTGCGCCTCTGCGAGTGTGTTTGTGTTTGACTGTCAGTGCAGTTAGGCTAAACCGATTTGTCTCACCCTCCCGCGCACTTCCATTTCCCATTTTCCCCTTTCCGCTCACGAGTCTGTGACTTTTCCTGCAGGCTATGCCCTACTTTTCGGTATTCGATTGACTTTCATCGGTTTTTTTTCTTTAACTCTAAAATATGTAGTCAAAGAATTAAATTGTAAATCAACATTTTTCCTAAAGATATTTTAAATCCAATTTTTATATTTAACATCATCAAGACAATAGTTTTACTACCATATATTAAACAAAAATATTATGCCGCAAATTTTATGAAACGCATTAAAGCATTAAAGAAAATACAGATTTAAGTTTGTTTTTAAATTAATAACTGATATAACATTTTTAATAAAATTTAAATTAAAAAAAAGCTAGTTCCTTTAATTTAAAATACAAACTAAGATATCTCTGTTGCTAAATTTGTCGTTAAAAAGGTTTTATAAAATACGTACATATGTATACCATTGTCATATAATTTTTTTCTTACATAAAAGTAAAACCCAGGGTACTTCGCACATCGGCTTAGGCCTTTTAGACCCGACTTTTGACCAGTCTTTTTTCCCTTATTTGTTGTTTGCATTGCCCAGTTGACTTTGGTGCTCTCTGTGTCAATTGATGGCCCTCGAATGGACTGGACTCGAGCGAACAGTGAGTGGGGTCTTGAGGCTGTAGCCCCGAAAAATATCAAGTGTCGTTTGTCAAGTCAGAGCCAACATTCAATAATGTTAATTTGCAGTGGTAGCGTCCGGAGATTCCCCAAATTCGGTTTGCAGTTAAGCCCCCGGTAACAAGTTGCGGTGGTCTTTAATGGCTGCCGTCTAATCACTCCGCTTCGGGCAACTTTCTTGGCGGTCTTCGGAATTTGGGGATGGAGGCTCTTACTCTTACCGCATCACATGGCCATGCCAATTTATTTAATATGCCGTACGTGAGCTTCCGCTTTCGGTTCTGTTCAGTGTCGTTTATGGCCCCTGACTCTGATTCTCGTCCTTTTTTCCTGGCCTTGTGTGTTTTTACTACTCGCATTTCATTTCATTTTACTGGACGTTTTCAAATTTTTCACTTGAGTGAGCTTTAGCAGGCGGTTTCACATCTTTAACGATGTGCAAAAAAAAAAAAAAATGAAGAAAATATACTGCTGAAACAGGAAGAGGACTCTGAACTGTCCGACCATTTGTAATGACCAAAGCCTCTGGGGCGGCTAACATGTGAGGACCTTCGCTGACCAAAGCTCCTCCACTGACAGTTGGGCACGAAAACATAAGTGGTATTGTTGGCAGTTCCAAAAGACTGTAAAAAAAATATGTCATAC